TTAGAGGGAACTTGTTCATGGGTTTTAACCCACCTTATTTTATTTTTCAGGTTCGTAGAAGTTCAAGTCTCGAGATTGAGGATCCGCAATTTGGAGGCTTATCTATCATCTACTCTCATTTATTTCAAAGTAGAATGTTATTAAGTCATTTGACTTTAGTTTTACTTATAGATTTATGGATAATGAAAGTTGGTTAAGGGGTCCTTGAATTGTGGGATTCCCGAGTTATAATTTGTGATACCTCTTGATTCTAGAGCCACGGGTAATCAAGTCCGAGCACAGATCCGAGAGATACCAAACAATTAATATGTAAACAAGCAGAAATAAAAACTGAATTAAGAATAAATTAATAATACACTGAAAGAAATCTAAAATAAGAATCCTCAAACTTGAAATAATAAATTAATATAATTTAAAACCGTACAACTCGGGAATCCACCTAGTAGACCCCTAATCCCAAATCCTTGAATAAATTTACAGAATTAAAATCCAAAATTAAAGTAGAAAAGAAATCTTATGTAACCGGAAGAGTGAGTGTCTGTATTTGCATCAACACGATCAAGCTCTAAGCCTGGTACTGTCGAACACCTGAAAAATAATAGAGTGGGTCAGGCCCACATGTAAGTCCTGATCTACTACGATCCAAACAGGAATCTGATACGCAGATACATCTTAGATAAACTCAACAATATGTAGAGTAGTCCATATATGTACATATTACACACTATAGGACGCTCACTAGTCCAATAGGTATGTCTCGGCCTGAGTAGAGATACCATGCAAATCGCACGTAATGTGGTCATGTGTTTCTAGACCTACCAGGGAACAAAACCACTGTCCAGTTATCCATCCTAGGCGATATAAGTACCCTAACCATGGTCATGAGACTCAAGCTCATACTATGGCACCATAACATAAATATATAAAGTCCGTTCAAGGTGTGTCATTCAAATAGTTTATTGACCTGACACATAATTATAAGTAGGACTTAACTTTTGTAGTTAATCCATCTTATTTCAATATAGGTAGGACTTAGTATTTGAACTAATCTATCCACAATATAGGTAGGTCTCAGTGTTTTAAATTGAGCCGTCCCTAATATACCACCGTTCTATACCGGTGCATAGACATCCATATAAGTAGGACTTAACTTTTTATAGTTAATCCAACTCATTCCAAAATAGGTAGGATTGAGTGTTTTACTAATCCATCCCTAGCATGCCACCGTCCCATACTAGTGCACACAATCCTCCAAACAACATAATTGTAAAGACAATAATTGTTATCTATCAACCATTATTCAGGATATACATAAATACAGTTTAATACATATAACATGACATTAGGCATTCATTACGGAACCTAAACATCACATTTCAACCATTTAAATTGCTAAATTGAGTCATAGCATTTAAATCCTCCATTTACCATAGTTGACCAAAAACAGCATAAATAGTTATCAACTACATTCTAAAATAAGCACAAATACAATTTCACATGTGCAAAACTAAATCATGCATCCACTAACAGAGTTAGAATCCAAATCCCAGTCCTTTAGATTTGTAAAATAAGATTACACAATCTACCTCTTTAAACAGTACCATACTGATGCAACATATAACCGACTTAAACACCAGTTAACTCCATTTAAGCATACACATAATTTAATTACTATATGCCTAAATCAAAGCTGAAAACATGATTCTCAATTTAAGATTTTGCAGAGAAATCAAGGTTTCAAAAACAGTAAGCAACAGAAGTTAATTCATATCCTCCCACTAGTCCCTAAACTGCTACAGTTGATTAATAAGATGACTATTAATTTAGTCCAACACAAACATGGTTAAATTCAAGTAATCCATGTTACTTATAATCCTATTTAGACATGATTAATCAAAATTAAATCATATATAAATAATCCTCCAAGTTCCAAAGTTTAAACTGATCAACATTCAAGGTGCAACTTGTAGATTCCTTTCCTAATTGTACACTGCCTCCTTCTTAATCCCTTTATGAATTCTTGTTTGAACATGTTCTTACAGGTCTAAAACAATAACATGCATCATTTAAAATCATTTAAACCAAGTCTTAAAACTCTATACAACCCAAAAATAATTTTAAAAGAAACAAACAAAATGCATTCTGGGTGAGAGTAGGCTCTCTCAAAATTGAGAGCTTGCTCTTTTAATGTGAGAGCTGGCTCCCTAAACTAGGGAGCCTGCTCTTGATAGCATGGAGCCGGCTCCATGCTCTTTGGAGCCGGCTCCTTGATGAGGGAGCCTTCTCCCTCTCACTCCGAGGCTCTCTGCAATTTTCCTACTCCATCCTCCTCACATCCGATGATACCCAGGTCTCTATAGCTTGTTTAATACCTAATCTAAGACTCAATTTATGTTCCAGATTGATTGTAAGACAAGGATATACAAACAAAACCTAAGTTGAAACACAAGTTGCTAAGCATCGGTAGTAAGGTTTAAACTAAACTTTTAACCAACTGAAGAACAGATTAATACACTGATTTTAAACACAAAATAGACATGCATAAACGTTGTATTTGAAACTTAATTTAATCCCTGGAGGCTATCTAAGCATGCACAGAACACAAATTCCTGGGAAAGAGAAGATCAAAAACTTGCCTTTGAAACTCAAACTTGCAAAGCTAATTCCACGTCTCTTAGTGTTAAACCACCCTTGCTGCTCCTACTGCAGTCCAGTAACACACACCAAACTTCCCTCCTCGATTCCGTTTTATGAACCACCCAAACTCCCACTCCGATTCTCTCTGTATCTCTTTGGTTTTCACTACCAATTTAGGGCTCTGTTTGTGGTTTACAGAACGTACGTTTATTCTGTTCTCCAAACCCTAAACCATGTATTGCTTTATATTTATAGGTGTATATTAATACCCTAGTCCACGAATAATCAAAGACTAAGCCCTAATCCCCATCCTAATTGGCCCATGAAACTATCTCAGTTCTAACCTACGGCGGCTCACCTATACGTGAATTATAAGCCAAAAATTATAACTGCAACCCTAAGTTACCATACAGAAAATAAATAAACATTACATTAACTAAATAAAACAATTAAATAAGTATAGTAATTAAACGGGTAATAAATCCAAGTTACATATTACTAAGACAATTAATTTAAATAAATTCAAATAATATAATTAAAACAATCTCAATTAACATGTAAATTAAATACACACAAATATTAATTAAATCAATTAAGCAAACACAATTAATCACTTAAAAAAAACAAAACAACCAAGTCACATAACTAAATCAATTAATCAATGTAAAATTAAATTAAATTTTCAATTCTATCCTTTTGAAAACTAGGGGTATTACATAATCTTTGGAGAAATTATTATTTATTAGTTTTTTTCAACGTTTTATGTTTTATTTATTCTTTATTATTCATCTTTGTATTCTGTGATTGCTAAATATTAATTGTTTTGATATCCCCTGATTTTATAAGCGTAGACTTAATCAACCCAAGTCTCCGAAATAAAGGGGTATCACATCTCACGAACCATTGAAGAACCACGATAGGGACAAGTGCAGAAAACACCCCTAAAGTATATTCTGCGTAACACTTTTACCCCTATTTGAAAAAGTGTGCAAAAAACACCCCTAATATTTTCACATTATGCAAAAAAAAAACTCCTCTGACATAAATTAGTACTGTAATATCCGTTTTGCCCTTTTACTCTCTCGAAAATGTCTAAGGGATTATATATGCTACTAATTTCATAGTATAGAGGTGTTATGTGCACATTACTTAATAATTTTTTTTTTTTAGACACTTTTCTCTATGTATATCTATAAACATTTTTTTAAAAACATTTGTAGAACAAGAATTTTAAATTTTTTAGATTTCAGTTTACTCTTTTCTACTAAATTTTTTTCGTACCAACACTGTTAAAAAAAAAAATTCCCAATATAAGCATGCACTGGTTTTTAGAGTTTGGGAAAAAAAAAAAATTTTCTTTTGTTTGCACTTCATTTTTGTTTTTTATTTTCTATTTTTATCTTTACTTTACTCTTTTATTATATATATATATATATATATATATACTTTTATCTATACTTTTCTTTTATTTTTATGTTATATTTACTTTTCCATTGCCGGCGTCCTCCAATAGTGTCATTTTATAAAATTATTTATTTTAATATATTTATAAAATTGTTCAGTAAGAGTAATTTAGTCAACTTAAGGGTTTAAATTTGTCAAATGTACCTATTTGCACCAAATTGAAACTTTATGGGTGTTTTTTTTCACTAGAGGAGCATCTCTAATAGTGTAATTTTTGGTCATTTTACAAAATTATTATTTTTTATATATTTTATAAAATGGTTGAGTAAGAGTATTTTAGTCAACTTAGGGTTAAAAATACTGTCATAATTTTGTTTTTTGAACTGAGCTAAGTTAAAATTTTGACAGTTAATTGCATCCATTAGTTAAAATTTTTGAAGACCACGTACGAGTGAGTCCTTGGCTGCTTCATAAAGTTGAATGCACAAAAAAAAAAAGGCTCCAGGACTTCACTACTAAATTAGTACTAATACTAATAACAAGTATTGAAGACAAAAGAGGAAAATGAAAGCTGATTTTAAATCAAAATCATGGCCTAAACAAAACCATTATGTAGCAAATTAATTAAGTCGATTCAGTACCGAACGTTTGATCATGCATTCCGAACACCAACCAGGGCATGTTTGATCATGATTCTGTCGTTGCAGCACCGGTTGCTGGACTTCAAGAATGGCTTGAAGTAGCCATTGTCGTCGTCGTCTTTCCTCATCCATCCTCCTCACATTTGCTGGGAGTATATAAATATACGTTGAAATGGTGCAAGTTTTAAGGGATCCTAGTGATAATCAAACATGAATCAAGATCAATTCATGTGAATTATAATGTACTGAAATTATCAAACACACATGTGGTGTACGGATTGACGTTGCAACTAATTAAACATGGGTTGGGCAAAGATAGAGAGAACTAAAAACTAAAAATAAAATCAACTATTATACATACAACTGATCAACACTTCAAATATCGACCAAAAATTGAATATTTGTTTGTCTGTTCCAACTTCCAATTAGAACCAAGGCTGCATATATAATGTAATATGGTACTTAAAAGTACCAAGTTTAACAGTTGAAAGCAACACTATACTCGAGTATAAATGACTACGCTTACATACATACAACAGATACCCTTTGATCTTAAAACTAGTATAAACTTCACATTACTTCGTACGGTGCAGCAGAATAAACAAAATTATGCCACTACTAATGCAAGAAAAGCGGCAGAGACTTCAAGGAAGAGAAAGGGGGAGCCATCAATCCTTTGCAAATCCAGAACATATAAATTTCCACTGGCTTTGTAAAGCTGTTCACATGATAAACACATAGTATTCATTAACAATTGTAATGACTAATGCAAATACAAATCTTCTTGACTATTCTTGAATAATTTTGAATAACTGCAACTTTTTGTAACTTATTTGAGAAATCTCGATATATATTGATTCAATAATTGTACTTGTACTATATGGTTTCAGACTTTTTTTTAGGAGGCGATGAAAGTAGCAATATCCTTGATAATTTCGAAAAAAACAACAATGTGCTTTGTTTGTTCCAACTCCACTTGAAAAACTCTCTGGTTTTTCCCCTAGTCTTTTATCTAAAACATAAAATAAATAATTAAATCAATGAGCATGCCAGGAGAAATTACAAAGTACTTGCTGATATGGACTGATTACCCTCTTCCCTTTCATTCAAAAGATCATGGTATTAAATTACCCGAATTTTCAAAAGTTAAATCCACTGCATCAACTAATGACAGTATTCTGTAATTTTCTGCCAGCACATTAGTAATTTTGCTATCTTGACAGTTGAGCGACCCATTACATACCAAACTATCTCTAAATTCTATTAAACTTGATAAAAGAAGCAGGTAAAGGATATCTCTTACCTGAATTTCAAACTTGACAGCATTTTGTGACCTAACACACACTCTGCTCATACTTGTAATTGATGAATCATCACCACAGCTTTGACTTTTTTTAGAAGGACCGCATTTTAGTACAGGTCTAGAATAGGTGGGAAATACAGGTAACCAAAGACATTTCATGTTGTAATGTCCAATCTCCTTCCATCGCACGTGTAACTTCTGAAGAACCTTTAAGACATGTGTCATCATTTTATGAGGAGATGCTTGAGACTGTTAAAGCAAAACAAGTTAGTAATACCCAAAAATGATAATTTTCGTTAAGCAGTTCTGGTACCGATCAATATGCTGATAGAAGATAACAAAAACAAACAATAAAAGCAAAGAAAGAACCTGAAATCCTAGAGTCCAGTTTCTCTGCAAATTAGCCGGTGATCTCAAGTATACTTGTGGACTATCTATATGCGCCTGCGCCTGCGCCTGCAATTTCAGAGATTAGCAAAGTGGTATACCCCAAGTATTCACTATGAGAAGAAAACACACTTGCAATTAATTCTATACTTAACAACTCAACAAAATCCTATCCCAAATATTTACTGCCAGATACAAGAATCATATTCCACTATTTACTGTTAGGCCATACATTTAGCATTGAGAAAGATCTATCAATTCTCAGACACAGCATATTTAAGTATCATGACACTTTCTAAATCAAAGATGATTCACAAGTATACGTGTGGGCTATCCATACCTGCGCCTGCAATATCAGAGATTAGCCAAGTGGTATACCCCAAGTATTCACTATGAGAAGAAAACACACTTACAATTAGTTCTATACTAAACAACTCAACAAAATCCTATCCCAACTATTTACTGCCAGATATAAGAATCATATTCCACTATTTACTGTCAGATACAAGAATCATATTCCACTATTTACTGTAAGGCCATACATTTAGCATTGACAAAGATCTATCAATTCTAGGCTATACATTTAGCATTGAGAAAGATCTATCAATTCTCGGACACAGCATATTTAAGTATTATGGCACTTTCTAAATAAAAGATGATTCACAAGTATACTTGTGGACTATCCATATGCACCTGCCCCTGCAATATCAGAGATTAGCAAAGTGGTATACCCCAAGTATTCACTATGAGAAGAAAACACACTTACAATTAGATCTATACTTAACAACTCAACAAAATCATATCCCAACTATTTACTGCCAGATACAAGAATCATATTCCACTATTTACTGTAAGGCCATACATTTAGCATTGAGAAAGATCTATCAATTCTCGGACACAGCATATTTAAGTATTATGACACTTTCTGAATAAAAGATGATTCATATGTGTATTCAACCAGTGGTCATAATAAATATAGAAATAATAAAAAAGAATTTAAATTTTTTGCAAAATCAGAACGAAATGTACTTACATTATTTGTATTAGGAGTTGCAGTGGTTGAATGCATAGCTACATCTCGTGGAAGATGCTGTTGAAACCAAGGATGTTGACGTACTTCAGGAATTGATAAACGGCTAATAGGATCAAGAACAAGTATCCGCTTAATCAAATCACGTGCACCAGGGGACAAATGATTTGGTAATGAGTATATTCCACTCTGGTGACAAAAAATAAAAAATAAAAGTCTGAGAGTTGGGAATATAATATAACTGTGAAAGTCCATATACAAATTTATTTTAGCCTACCTTTATTTTCGCATATAAACTGGACTCATGACCATCAAAAGGATACATCCCGCAAAGAAGAACGTATAAGATGACACCGCAACTCCAAACATCAACCTCAGGACCAGCATACAGTCGCCCAGATAAAACCTATATGAAAAGTAACTTAATGTACATTGGAGGGAAAAGTTACTCCAAGATGCATCTAACTAGTTCATAACTTACAAATCCCATACCTCAGGAGCAGTATAATGTGGACTTCCACAGCCTGTTTTGAGAAAATGACCATCATGCATGATATCGCTGAGACCAAAGTCGGCAATTATGACATTGTGCTTGGAATCCAACAGTAGGTTCTCTAGCTTGAGGTCTCGGTGAACCACCATGTGGAGGTGACAACACTCAACGCCTGAAATAATCTAATTCTAGCAATGAATAATGTTTCACCAGATTAGAGGTTATTTTAACAAAGAAATTGCTAAAGGGTCCATTAAGAACTTGGAACCATGGAGAGAGAAGATACCATGGGGAATCTTGTTTTCCTTTGGTTGAGTTAGAAAACTGTGAGAAAAATCAAATATGAAAGGAAAAAAAGGTGATTTTTAACTTTTAAGAAACCAAATTTTCCTCATAAGAGAACAAGGAAGTAAGGGCAAATATGTGAGGAAAGGAAATCAAAGTTTTTGGTACACAGATTATTTTCTTTACTTTCCCCTTCCCTTTCCTTTTTATTCTCCTAACTGATTCTGAGCAACAAAGGAGTCATCAAATGCGCCGACACAAATGTCACAGATGAAATAAGTTATCCAGGAGAGATTTTGCATGAACTATCTACATAAAAGTTTTTACATGCATTTGGGTTGAAAGAGTTATTTCTTCACTTTTTTCCAACCAATCTGCTGGTTTTGCTATTTTTGTTTACATCACCATTTTCCACGAACTTGCACAAGGGGTTTCTTCCTTCCAGTTATAAGATGGATAAAACATCCGAAACTGCTTAGGGTAAGGAGCAAAATGAAAACAGTAATAAATTGAGAAAAATAATGTTCTAGGTCGATGATATAGAATCTCACATGGTGATACTTACCGTCTAAGAAAACAATTTTTTTTTTTTTTTTTTTTTTGCAGGATTGTTTTCCTAAAATACCTGTTGAAAGAAGTGGCGAGCCTCATCCTCTGAGAGTCTGCCACGCACTGTAGTATAATCATATAGATCACCTGAATTGATATACTCCATGACAACATAAATTTTCGACCGAGTCTCTATGACCTCATAAAGATGAACTATACGAGGATCTGAAAATAGCCTCAGGATATTAATCTCCTGTCTCACTTTGAGAAAAAAAAAAAAAAAAAAAAATCAAAGGAAAACAATGTTGGGAAATATTATATAGTGTTGCAAAGACCAAACAAAAAAATTCTATAACAAGAATGAACATTTTGGAAACCACAAAAAGCAAAATCAAAGAACTGTTGGGTACCTTTTTTTGAAACATTTAAATGGCAACAAGAAAGCATCCAAAATTTTATAGTTTGCATGAAGTAATTGGTAAATTAACAAGAAGGGGGAAAAAAACACACACACACACACACATACACACAAAACGTTTTTCATATCCATCATGACCACCTATAGGCACAACATCATATTAATTGATAATGCAAATAGCTTCTCACGCCATTCTAAAGAAAAGAAACATTTTACAACTTTTATTGGCCACACATCATAAACATCAGACAAACAACCTTCCCTGAGGTTATCAGGCCATCATTCACCACTGAAGGCCCCGAGGTGCTGTTATTTGTACAAAAGCAATCAAGGTACTTTTTTTTTTTTTTTCGTTTTATCCTGGCAAATAACATAGATCCAAACTTGAACCCTCAACTTTTGACTTAGGGAAGTAAAGGAAATACAACTGCGACAGCACTTGGTATACAATCAAGGTACTTGAAGCAAATGTCTTCGCCTCTTCATTATTATTCGAGTGCATTCAATTAGAAGTGTTTGACATAGGGATCAATGGGTAATTTATAAAACTTTTGTAGAATGAGCAAAAACCATGCTGAAATCACACTCCAAAGAGGGCAGTGATGATTCAGAAACCCCAGCGTGCGACTATGAGTGCAACAGCATGTATATTGGTGAAGTTATATCAAAGATGTTTCAAGTAATTATCTGACATGCTCCATATATCCACTTTATCCAATTCCCTAAAACATAAGTACTCTATTGCAGATTTACTCTCAGATGTCATACGACGTCTTGTGGATTCGGATTTCGGGATTGACTTTCAAAAACGCAATAGAATTTTTTTCAGGAATTTTTTAGGTGAAAATTCAATTTCCTGGCTGTACTCCTCTGGTAAGAAACAAAAGAATGGGCAACTTTTCTTGCCCCGTGTTAGTTTGTCTCAAGGTTCCTGAGATCCTTTGACGGGGATCTAGTGTCCATGGCTCGGCAATTTCCATGCCGAAACATGAGTTGTCACTCGTCAGGTCATTTTTATTGTTTGTGTCAACCAAGTTATAATAAGACATGTTGATATATCTATTGATTGACAGCTGTAAATTGAAGATTGATTGAAGATCTCATGGACATCACATGGTGATCATTTGAAGAACTTCATAAAGGGTCAAAGGTTGACAGGGAAGACACTCATTAAGGCAAGATTCATGTAGTTGATTCGAAATATATTGGAAATGATGCCTTCAGATGAAGGCAATCATTTTTTGTTTAAAAGGAACTCCTCTGTTGCATTCCAATTTTCCAAAAATCTTGCATTATCTCATCCGACACTTAAGATTGCCGCAAAACAAATGTTCACTTGTGGTTTTTAATTTCTACCAGCTCATTTGTAGATGAATTAAGCAAGTAAATGTTCAAATTGCAACTAAGATTGGTCAAACTTGTCAATCTCATACTTAAGTATCACATTGTTATTTCAAATGTCAAGGAGTACCTTTTTTGGCATCGGAAGCATTTTTTGATTGAAGATCAAGGATCTTAATAGCAACTTTAAGTCCTGTGATGATATTAACTGCAAGTTGCACCTTAGCAAATGCCCCTTCACCAATTTCCTTCACCATCTTATAGTTCGATAGAGTATTTTGAGATGATGTGCCACGTTTAGAACTGGTTCCTTCCATTTTAAAGCTGTTGGCAATGCATAAATAAATGGCATGTTGTAGTTTAGACTCACAAGTAAAGAAATAAAATGCAAACTAATGTGTCATCTAGAATGCCATGAAAATCCACAAAAGCATTAAACAACTCATATACCAAGCCACAATAAGTTTTTTATGTTATGGAAAATCCAAGGATACATAGAGAGGAAGACCACATAGGAAAATCTCTGTAATATAGCATAACTTCATAATTTTTTCTTGAAAATATTAATCATTGCAAAAGAAAATACACGGAACATTTTGTTAAGTAGTACACACAAAACTAGATAATGTAAACATTTACTAATTTTGCAGCCAAAGAAAAGGCCAACTAACTCTTTACAAGGTACAATCATTCATTTTGTGGGCTATCTTCTCTTCGATAAAAAGTACACAGCACATCCATAATTCCTCATGTGGGAGGAACTGATAGATAATTTATATTTCCACAACGCCTTTAACTTTTCGAATCCTCTATAGTGCCATGGATACAAGATTTTACTCAATTCTTTTACAGGATTATTCCGACCCCTTAATATTATTATATATAAATCATAGAGTAATCTTTTTGGGTAAGGTAATTGAATCATAGATTTTAGAAATGAAGAAAAAAATAGCAACATCAAATATAGAATTAATTTAGTGAGCAGAACCAAAAAGTTAAATGTATTTTCACGACAAAATTTTCAGCAATTACAACTATATGCATATTTTACACCTAAAACATAGAAAAAACAGTCAAGAGAAAGTAAATAGTTTCTACCCTTCGAATATATGAATTAAAACATATCTCATCAAAGACATCACAGGAACATCTTTTTAAAGTATCATGCAAATAGGTTCCATATAGACAACAACTAATATTGCGGATACATAATAGATCAATATAATTACAGATAAATAAAATCGGCCAAGAGATCAAACATAATAGAATTTATACGCAAAATTAAAACATACCCAGTCCAGAAAAACAACAAAATCAACTTTCTATTTATGTACATATACATACACGCATAAATCTGTACTGATGCATACCAAATTAAAGGAACCGAAATAGGTGCCCCAGGAGAAGAAGAAAACCCCAAGTAAGAGATTCAGAGAAACATGAAAATTACATACTTGGTAATGAGTACAAAGCACCAAATGAAGAGGGTCTAGTATATAACGTCAAACCAAAAAACCATTGTTTATATCAGTACATGCGTTTACATACTTTGATAAATACAAGCAGATGCGCATATTTGAAGTACGCGTGTGTAGAGAGAGAAATATGGAGTGAAGGTGTGGAAAGAAGAAACAAAAAGAAGCTGACAAATTCGAAGAATAATGACCGTCCCAAGCTTCCGACACTCGCTTCATTGAGGACAATGACAAACAAAGCGCACTGAGAAATAATAATGCTCAAGGACACAGCTCTGTTTTTTTTTTGTGCATTGAATAATGCTTACAAACGACGCATTGGTTTTAGTCCTCTTTTTATTTTTTTATTATTATTATTTTTCTGAAGTAAAAAAAAAAAAAAAAAAAAAAAAAACAAAAAACAAAAAAGTTCTCATAGCTCTTGGTGGGTCGGGCAGTCCATGCTTCAATTCAACTTTGGCTCATTTGTCTCGGGTCGTATCTCATCTTTTTTTAAATGCGAAGTTGAAGGTTTAAATCTTCCAACGAATTATGAAAATAATGTATGAACTAAGGTTTAATTTGTACTTTACCTCCCAAGTTTCCAACACTGCTATAAAGTGTAAACTGTTATATTCTGAATCTATGATATAATATTGATCTTTAGTGCATACACGGAAAAATCAAAACTGCAAAAATATCCTGTAGAGTACAATAACACTATTGATATTTGTCAAAAGGATACACAGATAAAATTTAGCCTATTTTAGAACAAAGACACCCCCTTCAAGTTTGATATAGCTATAAAAGACACTCCAATGGTAATGAATTGACATTTTTGCCCTTTGACTTTTATATTGACCAGTTTGAATGTTGAAATGACCTTTCTAACCTCTAACCACTGTGTGCAGATGGCAGACCCATACCCATTTCTTTCCTTCTCTCCTCTCTCCATTCCCTCTTCCTCCTCTAGCCGCACCAACACACATATATACAGACACACGCGTGCGCGCACACACACACACATACATATATAGAGTCCTGATTTCTTGCTCCCAATAGAATAAGAAAATTAATCCACACTTTCTATATTGACCGTTAGATTAAATCTAATGGTCATTTTTCAAACTCACTTATAGTATTTCCTTTCAACACAAAACCACTGTCACCCTATTTTTAGTTTCTATATTTAATTTTACCATTACCACTGAAGATACCCAAAATAACCTTGGCCGGATACGATCCAGGTGGTCACAAGTGGGTCGGATAAGGACTACCATTCTAGGCTGAATCTTAATTAATCAAGCCTAAGATCATCTTGGTTGAGTGGGAAGCCCGGTTTTTACAAGGAATGAGCTGAGCTCAAAGTAAAGAGAAGCCCAGAAGAACGGCCCAGCTCAGGAAGTTAGTTAACAAATATCTAGAAAGTCTGTAACAGTCTATAAATAGGCTGTAAGTAGAGGGAAAAGGGGTTGAAAATTTTGAAGTGTAGAATTACTCTTTCTAATATGAGAGGGAAAATTTCTTGCATCTTCAATGGCGCCGTTTGTGAAACGATGAAGATTGATCTGAGTTCGATAAAGGCAGCTTTGATCAAAGCTAGTTCAGAGAGAAGGAGCTGGAACTCTGAAAGTTAGATCCAGATCAGGGAGACTATGATTCATCTTGCAGAGTCTTGATTCTAGTTGTATCCAAAAGACTAGCGTCTGATCTAAGCAGTCTTGATTTGTGCTTGTTGAGTTGATTTATACAGTTGAGATTTGTTTAGATCGCTGAATTAGACAAACTCGCCGCAGGAGCAGTTCAAATTCGGCCAATCAAGATTGGGATTCAGCTAATTCAAGTGTAGATCTAGTGCGCTTGCATCAGCGGAGCTCAGATTTGATCACAAATTGCGGTTAACGACTTTGCTTCGATCAGGAATGATGATCGGAGGAGAGAGCTCAAATCCATCGGATAATGGCCAGCAGACAAAACTAAATGAGTTGATAAACATGATCGAAACTCTAAGAAGAAAGAATGCAAAGTTGCGAGCTGGAATGGAGCATCGGGAGGCTCCGGCGATTCCACAGCCACCTCCAGTGGGGGAGCGCGCTTTACCACATGATGTTGCTCACCAAGGCGAACAAGAACGGAACAATTACGTGGATCATCACCGCGAGGAGATCGGGTCAGGCGATTTACCGGCTCATCGAGTGGAGGACCGAGAAGGATCAATTCATCCTGATCCGTATCATTAGTGGATCAGGTGTGAAGAAGCCATGGAGTCTGGACATCACAGGGCTATGTCGCCATGGCAGAACGAGCTCACAAAGGAAAGGTTGTTCGATCCGCCTTATCGGCCTTCAATAGCTACGTATGATTACAAAGTTTTTGATGGTAGATCTACAGATCGGAGGATCTTCGCAAAGCTTCCAAGGGAGAACGAGGCCCTCCGTTTGTCAGCATGAACGGTTAATTCACCGTTTACTTATGAGATTCTGAACACTTCGAATCCGAGAAAATTTTCTATGCTATTATTTATCCTGTTCGATGAAACAACTGATCCGATCAATCATGTTTACCATATCCAGCTAAAGATGGCTCTGAACACGGAGAATGATCCTTTGATGTGTAAGTGCTTTCCCACAAGCCTGACCGGACCAGCGCTTAACTGGTTCAAGAATTTGGCCAAAGGCTCAGTCGCAAACTTCCAGGACTTGTGTGACAAGTTCATAAGCCAATACTATAGGAACAAGCGCCCAGCCAAAGGCGTCTCAAGCCTGTTTACAATGAAGCAGCACGAAGACGAGCGACTCTAAGCTTTCCTCACTAGGTTCAACCTCGTCAAGAGTATGGTAATGGAGTGTCACCCCTCCACAGCGGTCAAAGCATTCAAGCTAGCAATGAACCGAGGGACACCGTTCCACACGAGTCTGGTGGTTAATACGCCAAAGACCATGGACAAGCTGAATAAAAGAGCTGATGGTTTCATGCGTTTAGAGGAAGAAGAAGCAACCAATGTAAGGAAGACGTCGATTATTTCAACAGAAGAAAAGTCCAAAACCAAGATCTGGCAAAAACAAGTTCCACTACAGCGTCAAAACTCCTGGAAGGTGGAGAAGAGGCCCAGAGAAGAAGAGTTGGTTACTCCGCTCAAAGTAACTCTAGCAAGGCTGTATCAAGAAAGCAAATATAAGTTTCGCCCTCCATTACCAATTAGGCAACCTCTTGAGCAGAGAGACCAATCTAAACATTGTACTTTCCATAGTGACTTTGGTCATCAGACTAATGAATTCAGGAACTTAAGGAGGCAAGTGAAGATGCTGATCGCAAAGGGAGAGTTCGTAGGATATGTTCAAGGGCCAGCACAGGAGCAGAGCTGACCGGCTGAGCAAGTCAAGAAAAATCAGAAGCCGAATTACCATAACACTCAGCCTGTTCGGATTATTAATGCAATTCATAGCCGACCTGAACAAATAGCAGAGTTAGAAGAGCTGCTCAGGACACGTTTCCGCCAAGCGCAAATGAAGAGGAGGATAGGCAGTGTGCACGCTCTGCATTAGCAGAGTACATCCGCATAAATAAAGTTTGACAAAACAGACCTGTTGCACGTTCAGACCCCTCATGAAGATCCATTGGTCGTCAGTTTGACAGTTGCAGAGTGCCTGGTACGGCGAGTTCTGATTGACCTAGGGAGCAGTACGAATGTCATACCCAGGGTAACGTTTGACCGGTTCAAGATCAAGCCAGAAAAGCTCAAACCTACGGGAAATCCGTTGCTGGGAAATCCGTTAATGGGAAGAGAGTGGATCGACTTTTCATCAAGTGATGAGATGTTTGGGCCCTGATGGGAATAGAGTGATTGATATCCATAGAGACCAGGTCGCAGCCAAGGAGTGCTATTCTGTAACCCTGAAATCTGTTGGAAAGGAAAAAGCACACATCAGGTCTGCTAGCCCAAGATAGCAATTACAGGAACCTCTACCCAACCAGAATGGGGAGGAGGAGCTTTCGACCTAAACCAAAGAACCTCTCGTTGAAGTGCAGATCGATCGTGAGAAGCCAGACCGAACTACATAAGTGGGCTCCACACTTGCAGAGGGGGAGAAACAAAGGTTAATTGATTTCTTGACTTAGAACGCAGATGTGTTCGCTTTGAGCCATTCAGACATGCCAGGAATCAACCCATCCGTGTCCTGCCATTCCCTCAGCGTGGACCCAAACGCCAAGCTTGTAAGGCAGAAGCAGAGAAGGTTTGCCCCGGAGTGCAACCAAATCATAACTAAAGAGATTGATCGTTTGTTGGATGCAGGGTTCATTAGAGAAGTTCAGTATCCGTCTTGGCTCTCCAATGTCGTTGTTGTGTAGAAGAAGAATAGGAAATGAAGAGTGTGTATTGACTTCCCGAATGTAATACCCCTAATTTTAAAAAGGATATTCCTGGTATTTAATGGTATTTAATTTATTTTTTAAGTGCATTTTATTTGATTATGTGTCATTATTTTTTTTATTAGGTGCTTAATTATTTTCTTTTGTGGTGATTTAATTTATTTAAATGATATTTATTTTTAGTTATTTGATTGGAGTTACTTGTTAGTGTTTTAATTATTTAATTGGCATTAATGGTTTAAGTGTAATTGGTTTAGTTATTTGATTGGAATTACTTGTTAGTATTTTAATTATTTAATTAGCATTAATGGTTTAAGTGTAATTGGTTTAATTATTCTATGTGTGTCTTATTTTATGTGTGTCTTATTTGGTTTAATTGGGTTTACTAATTATTATTTTGTTCAATTAGATTATTTATTAAGTATTTAATGGTCAATAGGGCAATTAGGTAAATACATCTAACTAGGGTTTTAATTACAGTATAAATTAGGGTTTTATATTATAGCCGTCGTAGGTTTCTACGTTAATTGGATGGGCCGGTTAGGATTGTGAGTTGGACTTAAATGAACCTAGGGTTTAGGAAAACTCTATAAGTATAAGGTAGACGTCTGTGCAGGGTTTTTTTTAAACAAAGCACACGTTTTGTGGAAGTGGAGGAGGAAAAACGCAGTTTTTCACATTCTGCCAAGGTTTGATCAAAGCTCCGATCCCGCTTCG